ATACAAATCTGACTTAAGGACAGACCTTGGGAATGGAACTCATTCTTAAACTGGGGACTACCTGTACAAGACAGCAAGCACACATGAAAGAGTTTATAATGAAATAGTTGGCAACTGAAAGATTACAGTGCAGCCACATTTTAAAAAATGCCTAAAACAGGAGAGGCTTGCAGCAGTAAAAGAGGATAACAATTATAGCAAATGCTCAACGAAAAGGACATTACTCAACAATGCTTAAAATGTGCTCCTTTAGCCTCTCCAGTAAAATATCTACAACACTTTTTTTAAAAAATGGCAGTAGGATCACCAGTTGGATGATTTCATTATAAATAGGATACACATATTGCTATATCCACAACAGCTAGCAAAACCTACTTCCAGCACTCATAAAACCAGAATTTTGGGTAGGTGTTTTCCAAATTTAGACCCTTGGAAAGAAAAGGGACCAAAGAAAGTGTAAGATCAGTTATAAAAGATAAAAACAGATCAAGGCTATCTGGATGATCACGAAAGGAAATGCAACAGCCATCCTAATACAGTGGGTCTGGGAAGAGATGTTCATGCTAGGCCAGAGGAGGACAACTTCTTTGAAAAATGGACATTTTTCTAAACAGATGGTTCTAATTGTTTGTTGCCAGCTACTTGCTGGGCAGGGCTGAAGTGAGCAACTGACAGAGAACTAATTCTTTGACGCTTCTTCCTATTACTATGTTGTCTCTTTTGTCTCACGCATGCAGCAGGATGCAGGGGAAGGACTCGAGTTTATCAGATTACTGAACTAATAAGAGTTATTCAGAGTTTTTCAAATTAGGTCAAGAAAGCCATTGAGATGTAGTGGTTGAAGTGCTGGAATAGAACTGGGAAGAACTCAGGTTGAAGTCTGTCCTCTGCCAGGGAAATTCACTGGGTGACTTTAGGCAGCCACTTATTCTCAGCCCATCTGCCTCATAAGGTTGTTATTATGGGGATAAAATAAAGAGAAAACTCTGCATTAGCCACCTTGAGCTCCTGGACAAAAGGTGGGGTAGAAATCTAATAAATTAATGAAAATAAGAAGCGCATGCAGCCTACGACCACAGTTTGTCCACCCAGTGGTGAACAAATACTTCTGAACTCAAAGTGTAAAGGAGATAATAAAACATGCATGTAAAACTTGCAAAAAGGAGCAAAATAAAACATGCATGTAAAATTAGGCAGGTACTTGTCAGGACAAAACAGGAGGCTATATCAGAGATGCTGAATAACGGCAAAGAATTTAAGGAGCAGCTTCTTTCCTTCAGAGATGTCCAAGAGCGAGGCCTTCATGTATAACCTTTCTGCTTGTAACAACAGAGATGAGGCAGGCACCAACGTCAAATGAAATGGTATTGCAATTGTTATTAAAAACAACAGGATAAGGTTAATTGCCTTCTTTCACTGTTGCTTTAAACAATCTTTTTCCAATCTAACACCCTCTAAATATGCTGGATATCAGCCTTTAATGTGGCAGTACAATGTGAAGGGGAAATCTGGTTTAAGTAATATCTGGGTAGGCTTTTAGTTATAGGATACTCAAGAATATATTTAGAAACTGTGAATGTTTTAAAATGACCCCAGCACAAATATGAAATTTCTCTGCCAATTTTTTCTCAAAAGTATATCCTGAAAACGTACAGTTTGTACAGTCTATACCACAACATTATTAGACATGGTGTTCTGGGGGAATATGACAATGGAACTTAATATTAATATCTTTCGGTATCAGGCTTCTTCAACATGTACAGGGTATGTTCATCAGCACATTTCTCCATTCCTTGATTCTTAACCTTGTACCAGTCTTTAACAAAAAAAAACCCTTTTGAACTATAGGCTCATCTAACCCATACTGTTTACAAAGATCAGTTAAAATAAATTTTATGTGCTGCTTTTCCCCTTCCTTACATTATAATATGCAAAATTATGCAAAATCTAGACATTGACTGGGTTCATGCATTATGCTTATCAGTGTTTACTAAATAATCCACAGGTGGCTGAGTTCTCACAAGACACAAGAAATCACAATGGCCATCTTAATATCATGCACCAAGGCAAAACTAAACAACTCCCATTATGCAAAGTGTGAATCCAGGCAATCAGATGGATGCATAGCATAAAGTTTGTCCGGTACTGCAAAGTTCCAGTAACTGCTATTGCTTCAAATAATGTGGATATGTGTCAAACTCTACATGCCATGGTTAAGCCAACATAAAAAAGCCAGTCACAATGCAGGACTTGGGCCAGTCTTAAGAGCTATTGAAACAGAAAAAGTATGTACATGGAAAGTTGCATGCCAAGCTAGCATGGTACCCTATCATGTTAACCAAGCCCTTCATTTGCTTGTTTTTAATTTGGACATTAATAATTTACTTTTCCAAGTAAATGAAGAGTCAAAAGAGACATATTAAGCTGTTTAGCCAACTAATTCTATAGTGCAATAATTAAGTTTGACTCATTTTGAACCATGCTGTAAAATAATCCTAATGCAGATCTGCAAGTACTCATGCTTACCATTTCGAGACAAATCAAGTTCTACCAGCTGCATGAAGTTTGCTATCTCTGGCGGAAGTCGTTGGATTTCATTATCGCTAAGCCCAAGTTTTCGTAATTTTACAAGTTGAAAAAAAGGCTGAAAAAGAAAACAATTTTCCATTCAATACATGCAAAAAAAATTAGGTAATTTTGCTGGTTCATATGAAGAAGGAAACCCAGAAGTTCTAGTAAGGACCAAGAAAAGTGTCACACACTAATGAACATTTAGCATTACTGTTAATGCTATTAACTAATATTAATATTAATATTAACTAATTAATCCTGTTAATTGAGTTTGTCATAATCAGCCCATGTTTCAGCTTGGGAGAAAACAAATCAACTCCAAGATCAATATAAGGCAATATTATAGATGTTAATTGGGTATCATTATCCTATGACCTTTTGTATAGTCACCTGTATCAATGAAATCTGATGGGCCAGGAAAAAAAAAACAATTTTAATTTTGCCAGGGGACCTAGCCAACATGTGTATTCATGCCATCACTCACTTTCATCTCTCTGTATGCATATCTTCATCTAACTACAGTATAACTACAGTATACCATAAAGCAATGCATTTCCTACCACATGTGTTTAAAAAGAAAGATAATGCTCATAGTTCTTTTGTAGTGAATACTTGGTGTTGATAAAGTGCTCGGCAAAGTGAGAAACTAAAACTAAAGATAGTTAGATAGCAATCTGAACATGGGTAAAAATTTACTCTGCTTCACTGCCCATGCCTGTCAAGATGCCATTTGTACATCTATCTCTCATAGTGTCTGCTTATTTTGTTCAATCTGATAAAAGTCAGCATGCTTTGGGTCCCATCATTAAGACAATGTCATTTAACAGGATCCAGGAAGCATGCCTTCTCTGTCACTACTCCTGACCTTTGGAACAGCATCCTCCTTAACATTCACATGTCTCCTACTCTTGCTTTAATTTAAAAAGTCCTTAAAACCTGGCTTTCCTCCCAGGACCTGGTAGAGTCCTTCGAGTGCTCTTACCCTGTTGGGCCATTTTGGTTCTCCATGTCACCATCATGTAATTGCTGGCTTTATCTCTTTTTAATATTTTATACTGCCCAGAATAATTTTTAATCGGGTGGCCTTACAAACTCAATAAATACATAAGTAAACTATCTCAAGTTGCCAAAAGACACAAATCGACATAGATGTAGATGTATTATCACCTCCTTTTCTTGCATTCCCACAGCCAATAAACATTCCTGCATTGCTTACACAATTT